AGAGGGGCGTTACAATTAGAGTGATAAGGAATGATATGATACTTCTTAAATCTCATGGGATTATAAATTTGGAAAGAACGCGATTTATATACATGTGTAGGATTTATATCTTTTTATCATTTTTTAACTCCGATTTGATATTGTATTCATGTTAGCTGACTTTTAATTCTTTGGAGACCAAGCTAGGCCTCGATGTTGTACAGTGCTTGCACCAGAAAGAACTTTTGAACCATGCGATACTAGATAAGCATAATATGATGATTGTTTTGATTTAACATAATGAAGAGAGATCGAATTGAAAAACCAAAAGAGGAGCGGTAGAAACATATGTGTTTGTCTATTAAGTGCATGTATCACATTATCCATGATGGATTGTATGCGAAATCGACAAGAAAAAATTATAAAAAAGAGATTTTGTCTTAAATATTATTGAGAAATATTGTATGGATAAAAATGTTATCAAATTACTGAGAATATCTCCATTGTATTTATAGTGTAAAATTAAACAAGAAAATGGTAACTTAAGTTCCTATTATAATAACAATTTTATTAACTTCTTTCTTTCTATCATCATTGTTATTTCTCAAAAGACTGAAGTAACTTAAAAAAATTAAACAAAATAGCGAGATGTGTCGAATCTTATAAAAATTGAATCTCACAGGTGAAAGATCCAACACAACAGATTTTATGTCCATAATAACAATAAAGATGTTCTGATTGTCATGCATCCAAATCTTGGTGCTCGATCGAGGATCTCACCTATCTTTTTTTTGGTAGTTATTGTTTTTACTACTACCTCCGTCCCGTTGGAATGTTCCCACTTTCCTTTTTTGGATGTCCCAATGGAAAGTTCTCATTTCCCTAAATGGAAAGTTATCCTACATCAAAACAGTGTCAAACAGTGCAAAACAGTGTCAAACAGTGTCAAACAGTGTCCAAACAGTGTCTAAACAGTAAAATTTACTCTCTGGTAAGTTTATTTCCTTAATATGTGTGTAGGTCAAACCGGGAACATTCCAACGGGACGGAGGGAGTACATAACGCTCCTTAATTTATTTGTTTCATTTACGTTATAATAATAAGGAATTATGAATGCAAACTGTCTCATTCTCGATATTAATTCTATAGGTAATGAACATTTTGTTTCATAATTGGAGCATCATCCTTCATTGCTCCAACGCATTAAACTTGAGAAAATTGAACTACCTCGCTTAGTCATGGGCACAAGCACGACGTAAGGGTTTGTCCGTTTGTTAATAAGTATAACCTCCGCCCACTACAAGAGGAAGTGAAACTGTTATCAATAAAAGTTACTCCGTAATTTATATAATTGATATTCAATTGATAAAGTGAAAATCTGTATAAATAATGATGGAGGTTTTGTATATTAAAGATTGTCATTAGCTCAAATTATATGGAGTGGATTGAGGTGAAACAGTTAATTGGTCCAGAAGACCATGTGCTGTCCCTTTTTCTTAGCCAAGTTTTTTCCCAAAGGGTTTTCTTGACCAAAGGTTTTAAGTTATTTTGTAGTTTTTAAAGAATGAGAAAGATTCATAACATCCGGAAGACTATTATCCTCTAGAAGAGTAAAGCTAATATTAGTTCGGAAGATAATATCCTGAAGGTCTTAATTGGTCCTTGTGAAATCAAACAATTTATTGGTCCGGAAGTCCATATGCAACTGTACTCTTTTTCCTTATAACTAAGTTTTGTCCCATAGGGTTTTCTTGGTCAAAAGTTTTAACGAGGCAGTTTGTGACTTTGAAATAACATATTATGATACATAAAATTCGGAGTATTGTTTTTCTCTAGAAGAGTAAATTCAAATGCAATCCAGAAGATTAGGCCCTGAAGGTCAATGACTGTACTCTTTTCCTTTACTAAGTTTTTCCCGCATGGTTTGCTTAGTTAAAGGTTTTTAACGAGGCAGTCAATACAACACATCGTTTTACATTTATTATGTACTTTTTCCTTGATTGGTTTTTCCCCAAAGGGTTTTTCCAACAAGGTTTTTAGTGAGGCATACACATAGTAGAAGTTTTGCTACAAGGAGTTGCCAGATTATATTGGATCCTACAGGAAGTCTTGAAGTGATGCAGTCAACAGGGGGAGTCTATACGCGTTGCACTCTTTTTTCCTTGATCAAGGTTTTGTCCCACTGGGTTTTCCTCGACAAGGTTTTTAATGAGGCAGCATCATCAACGTATATAAAGAGAATAATGTTTCATATTATATTTGCTTGTAATACTTTTATTTAACAATGTATATCCAAGGGGGAGTGTTATGTAATTATGGATGTCCCATGTAATAAGTGTAATCCCTAGATCCCCACTTGTATATATATGTTACTCCCTCCGTCCCAGGGAGAAGTTCCCACTTTCCCTTTTTGGTAGTCCCAACAAAAAGTTCCCATTTCCCTAAATGGAAAGTTATCCTACATCAAAACAGTGTCAAACAGTGCAAAACGGTGCCAAACAGTGTCGAAATAGTGCCAAACAATGTCGAAACAGTGCCAAACAGTAAAATTTACCCCTCAGTAACTTTATTTCCTAAATATGTGTGAAAGTCAATCCGGGAACTTCTCCCTGGGACAGAGGGAGTATATGTGTATGAATAAAGTGCTTGCAACTCAATCAACACTGACAAATATTATAAGATTTTGTAAATCAATGTTTCGTGATTAAATTGATTCACTGGTGTTATGGTCAAGAAAGACGGAGCTTTATTTGGATTTGAGATTCAAATATCATCCATCGTTTTAATGAATAATCACTAGTCTATACGTCAATCAAACAAGTGGTCAATTTATAATTAATGTTGCACCCGGACGTAATTTCAGTTCAGACGGAATAAGATAGCCGCCTCTCTCAATAATTTTTCAATTGCTAGGATGTTTTACTTCACAATGAATAAGATAAGATCACCTATGTGTTTCTACTTTAAAAAATGAATTTTCAAAATAATTTAAAAAAATGTTTAATAATAAATGTTGATAATATTTGAAAAAGTGTTTTTCAAAAAATAAAAGTTGATGTGGTTTCTATATCGTTTTAAACTCTTTCTGAATGACAATGCTATGATATCAATGTAAGTCCCCCTCTTCCAAAAAAATAAAAAAAAAATAAAAAAATTGATAGTGTTTGATAAAAGAATTGTTTTTTGTATAATAGAAAAAATGAAAAGCAGTTAAAGAAGTTTTTCTCCCACAATATTATTTTTGTTGAAATTCTTATTTTAAGCACATCCAACTAAGAAAGATATTTCACACAATAAATTAGATAACACTTCATAACAATGAGATTAGCCTTCATAACAATGAGATTAGCTTAGATTGTATCCACCCATAATATGGAAGTGCGTTAGTATTTGTATGTGGTCTATGTATGGCGACCAGAGTAAAGTGTGAGTTTATCGAACAACGATTAAGCTTAGATTATTGGGAAAGGGGAAATTAATAATCCAACCTTTTAGCGGTTTTCTTACAATAGTCTCACCTTTTGATTATTCATGAATAATCCAACCTTTGCACCTCATCTTTATTCACTGGTCTCTGACCGGTTGATGACCTGTTATTCCAAGTTATTTTCTTATCTTTGCAAAATGTTATCTTTGTGAAAGGTGAGATTTATGGTATAATGGTTTACAAAGATAAGAAAATAACTTAGAATAGCAGATCATCAACCGGTCAGGTACCAGTGAATGAAGATGAGGTGCAAAGGTTGGATTATTCATGAATAATCAAAAGGTGAGACTATTATAAGAAGACCACTAAAAAGTTGGATTATTAGTTTTCATTTTCCCTAGATTATTTTATGGTGTAGAATTTTGGATGGTGAAACAAATTAAACATCCAAAAAAAAGAATATGACTAAAATATGCATGTTTTGTTGGATACTTGGATATGTGAATTTAATAGAAATTATCACTTGAAAAATGAGACAATCAAACAAAAAGTGAGGTTAACACATATTGAAGATGATGTGTGCAAGTCTCAATTCCAGATTTTGTCCATGTGTGTAGAAGAACATGTAATATTGTTGTAACAAACATATTCCCCAAATATAGACGTGTATTAGAGTGATAAGGAATGATATGATACTTCTTAAATCTCATGGGATTATAAATTTGGAAAGAACGCGATTTATATACATGTGTAGGATTTATATCTTTTTATCATTTTTTAACTCCGATTTGATATATGTATTCATGTGAGCTGAATTTTAATTCTTTGGGGACCAAGCTAGGCCTCGATGTTGTACACTACTTGCACGAGAAAGAACTTTTGAACCATGCGATACTAGATGAGCATAATATGATGATTGTTTTGATTTAACATAATGATGAAGAGAGATCGAATTGAAAAACAAAAAGAGGAGCGGTAGAAATATATGTGTTTGTCTATTAAGAGGGGCATCTCCAATGGGAGGGTGCATTGCATCTGATGTGGCATAGGAGAGAGATAGAGATAGAATAAATATTGGAATGAAGTGGTGTGTAGGGAAAATGAAAAAGAGGAGAGAGATAGAGGTAAAAATGGATCAAGGTCTATGACAAGGTCCATATATGGACCTTACAAGGGATTCGAGGAGGAAAAGTTGATGAAAAGTGGGTTAAAAGTGATATAAAAAAATGAAAATGAAAATAAATTGGGAAATATGTGGGTCCTACACATAAAATTTGTGAGATAAAAAAAATGGGACCCATGTGTAAGGGTGTGTAAGAGACCACACCCATGCATTGGAGATGCTCTAAGTGTATCACATTATCCATGATGGATTGTATGCGAAATCGACAAGAATTTTTTTTTGTAACGGGGAGGCTTAAATTGATAATAAAACACTCAGCACGGGACAAGCATGACAAAGTAAGCACTTCTGACCACCAACCCTCGAACCAGCTAGAGAATCTATCACCTTAAACAAAGCAATGTGATTCGTTGATCCTATCATGGGTCTACATGAGCCAAACGTGGCCAGAGTAAAAACCTCATCACCCCCACCAAGTGTAACAGTCTGGGAAATAAAAACTACATGAGAGTAGAGATAAAACTCAAAAAAGAAAAACACGTGTAAATCATAAAAAATCCTGTGGCAAAAGAGCGAGCACCAGCACCCGCTCCCAGCTAGAGCCTTCTTCAAAAGATCTGGCGAGCCCCTGAGCCCGCCCCTTCCCGGTTTTTTGGATCCAGAGCCATAGTCTCCCCCTCGACCCCTGCTTCCTTCGACTCCTCCCAAGTTCGTCTACGTGTTGGCTCCCCACTCTTATCTTCTACGGCCGCAGCTCCTGCCTCCTCATCTCCACTTTTCATATTGCTACCTTCAGAATTATTCCAGCCTTTCGAACCCCGTCCCGAGCTGCCTCTCTCTCCCCCGGTTGCCCTGTTATCCTTCCTTGGCGCGTCTGGGATTAGCCATTTGTTTCCTCCCTCCATTCGTGCCTGGCCTTCCCCCCTCCCCCAGCTCGCAGGCCGACCCCATATGGCCTATCCATATCCGTATCATTCTTTTCATAAGCTAAAGGGCAGTACCTGTCAGCATGGCCTATAACCCCACAAGAAAAGCAAAAACTAGGCAGCTTCTCGTACTTAAAGTCAACCCAATGTCCCTCACCCTGACCCTTCCTAAGCGTGGTTCCAACTTTAAGGGGCTTACCCACATCCAAACAAGCTCTAACCCTCATATAAGGTTTCCATTTTTTATCAAACTGTGGTTTTTTCCAATTGACAAATTTCCCAACAAAATTTCTAACTTTCCTAGCAACACCCAAATTCATAAAATCATAAGGAATATCATGAACCAGAACCCAGAATTCGGCCTCATTTAGAGGGACCCGGAGTGGAACATCCCCGGGCTGCAGTGCCCGGAGAACAAGCAAGTTCTGTTCAAAAATCCATGGTCCATCCTCAAGAACACGTTTCATATCAAGGGGATGATAAAACGTAAACATGTACCTTTTCTCGTCTATCTCCTTGATGGAAACCCCCTTGACCGGCATCCACAGTGAGACCATAAGTTCACGGAGCGCCGAGAATCTCACCATCTTATTAGTGATCACCGTCCCTATCACCGGATAAGCCTCCTGTTTGGTCGAGTCTTCCTCCTCTTCAAAAACCTCGTCGTCGACAACCAGTTCACCCTCCCTGTTTCCAATAACCATATCCCTGCATTTGTTTGCGATCTCATCCATTCTGGCTAAGCGAAACAGGTAGTTGATGCACAAGACTTGCCTCCTGCGTAATCAAACAAAACGAAGCAACCCTGCAAAACAGCCCCCTAGCTTTCTTCGAACAAAAACCTGCTGCAAGGAAACAAAAAACGATAAACCAACAGCCCGAGAACAATCCACCCAACCCACAGGCAAAATCACTCTCCTCTACCGAGAAGGCCAATCGGCGCCAAAAAAACCTAACCCTAATGAACTAGGGAGACGTCCGCATTTTAAATGCCCCAAATATGTAACTAATAAATGTTGACAAGAAAAAATTATAAAAAGAGATTTTGTCTTAAATATTATTGAGAAATGTTGTATGGATAAAAATGTTATCAAATTACTGAGAATATCTCCATTGTATTTATAGTGTAAAATTAAAATGGTAACTTAAGTTCCTATTATAATAACAATTTTATTAACTTCTTTCTTTCTATCATCATTGTTATTTCTCAAAAGACTGAAGTAACTTTAAAAAAAAAAACTAAACAAAATAGCGAGATGTGTCGAATCTTATAAAAATTGAATCTCACAGCTGGTGAAAGATCCAACACAACAGATTTTATGTCCATAACAATAAAGATGTTCTGAGTGTCATGCATCCAAATCTTGGTGCTCGATCGAGGATCTCACCTATCTTTTTTTTGGTAGTTATTGTTTTTACTACATAACGTTCCTTGATTTATTTGTTTCATTTACGTTATAATAATAAGGAATTATGAATGCAAACTGTCTCATTCTCGATATTAATGTTAGAAAAATAGTATTATAAATGCGAGTTTAACCAGATAAAAATCCCGAGTTTATACAAATCACCAGACAAACCAACAAATGCAAGAACAAATAAAAATAATAATAATTAGAATAATAAAAATGAATAAAGAGAAAAGATAAGAAAAACTTATCGCAGGATCGCCCGTTAGAACGGACTGGCCTTGAAGAAAGATAGCCCCCGTATCCCGATAGCTATTCGGACGGGTCTGGCTAGCTCGCTCTCAGGATAATCCTACTCCGTTTCAGACTCGTAGCTACCTTGACTGAAACCTTCGACCGTTGCCAAATATGCCAAGTAATAGAGAAACTCCAAAGAGACTATGAATCTTTTGCTCTAGAAGATACTCCGTATAAAATGATAACAATTCTTGTTGCTGAAAGCAAAGATGCAAACGAGTGACAGACTGACAGTATATCTTTCTTTTTGTTCGTGTAAGGAGAAAAATGAACCTGGGTCCTTATATTAGCTAGACTTTACGTATAAAGAGATGATCTTTTAAAACATACAGTAGCTTACTAGCCTCCCTGACTATTAATGATAATACGGAGTAATAAAGAAGCAGCCAGGGAGTAAATATGCTTGAACGTATAGAAATGGAACTCATGTAACGGATTGTTTCATGAAAATCAAATGCATTAAGTCTTGAGAGTTGAATGGCAAAAATAAAACTGATCCACATTAAGAATTCCATCAATAGCATTAAGGATAATTATTTGAATTTGAATTCAATTTCATAATCCAATCAGTTATTGCATTGTTCCCACAATTAGAGAGTCTTTAAAATTACAACCTTTAATTATATCACTTATAATCTGTCTGATGAGGCGCACATATAAGTGAAAAAATTAAAATGTCACATCATATTATATGATATTTGAACAACGTTCCTTATCACATAATGATTATAATCTTATGAGACTGTTTATCCTCTAATACAGTCATACAGAACAAATAAATTCATTGTTATAATACATCACTTTATATTCTTTACAACTATGGATTCTAATTTAAATCCAAATATGTAAATTATTCTTTGATGTATTATCAGCCTCCTCTCCATATTTAATACAATTATATCTTAGGACACAATAATGTGACCCTAAAAATAATATTTATATTATCATATTTCCATAAATTAATTCTATAGGTAATGAACATTTTGTTTTATAATTCGAGCATCATCCTTCATTGCTCCAACGCATTAAACTCGAGAAAATTGAACTACCTCGCTTAGTCATGGGCACAAGCACGACGTAAGGGTTTGTCGGTTTGTTAATAAGTATAACCTTTAATTTATTGAAACTGTTATCAATAAAAGTTACTCCCTAATTTATATAGTTGATATTCGATTGATAAAGTGAAAATAGAGTAAGAATGATTCTAGATTGTATAAATATTATCAAATTTGATATGAAACAATTTTAATGGGACGAGCCAATAAGAAAATATGAGACAATCTTAACGAAACAGATGGAGTACAAATAAGTTTTATAGTTGATTGGTATTCAATTAATAAAGCAAAAATAGAGTAACAATGATTCTAAATCGTATAAATATTATCAAATTTGATATAAGACAATATTAGTGGGACGGACCAATAAGAAAATATGAGATAATCTTAACGGTACAGAGGAGAATTAATTAATTTTGGACTCGATTACTTGAGCACAACCACCTTAAGGTGAAGCCCGACCATTGCCAAGGTCAAATCTGGAGGCTTACTAGGGGTGGACCTGATACGTACTGTTTGGGCCGTATCGAGTCCATTTGTCTGGTTTCGGGCCTAGACTGGCCTTGTATGATACTATCAGGTACCCGGTCCTGAATCAGGGACGGATGTATGTGTATGGGTAGGGGGGCCATGGCCCCTCCCAACTTTTTTTATTTTTTAGTAATACTACTATTATAAATGAAATAATCACTAAAGATTGGGTCAAAACTACTCAATAGAAGCTTTTATGTGAGATGCTTTCGGGTAGAATTTTTTGATGAATTTTTGTGAACATGTATTTCATGAAGTGTATATTATATCCATCGTATTTCAGCTTACATGCAATTGGAGAGTCAATTAAATAAATTATGGAAAAACACTGAGTTTTTTTTATATTTTTTGGTACAGTATTTTTCAATAATTTATTTAACTGATTTGTCGATTGAATTTTAAACTGAAATTAGGTGTGAATAATCTACACATCATGAAGAATATTGTCATAAAATTTCACCCAAAAAATCCATCCGGAAGCACATCAAACACAGACATCCGGATGGTGGATCCCGTCATGTAATTCTGAAAGGATCATTCCTCATTAAAAATATGAAAAAATATGTTTTACTCCTTGAATAGATCTTATTTAGTTCTATTAAAAATTATTTGATTAAAGTTTCCCAAAATAGGAGTCAATAAGTCCTATTTTGAGATTAAAACAATGATAATCCTGTGTATAAACTTTTTTTGGTCCTATTTAGAGATTTTTTTCTTTAGTATTTGTGTTTGTTCTTGGCCCCCCTTATGACCGAGTTCTGGCTCCGTCCCTGTCCTGAATTATTGGTTTTGGGACAAAACCATGCGGTTTTGGTCCCAACAGGCATTTCTTTTTCCTTTTTTGATTTCAACCGGTTATCAAATAACAACATTTTAAAAAGTATTAATGTGATCGGGACCAGGGGCTGAGCCATTTGGCATGGATCAGGCAGTCTCGACCCGGAACCGGAACAAGAGCCACCAGGTCCATGCCTAGGCTTACACAAGTATTCGTTAAATCTCTAATTTTAAGGAGTTCTGGTAATAATAGATGTGTGAGTTGAACCCGGGTGACAAACCTACTTAATTAAGATACTTTAATGTTCACTAGAGTGACTACCGGGTGACAAACCTACTTAATTAAGATGCTTTAATGTTCACTAGAGTGACTAGACTCACTAGTCACTAGACTACACGTTCTGTTAATTCTGGTCCAATTCTACATTTCTTATTTTCTTTCTATAGGGACTAGGTTTGATTTGTAACCTCGGGTAATAGACCTCGCCACCTCGGACGAATTTAGAACCTGTTACAGATCTCGTGTTTTAATAATGATCCATCCTTCTCAAATTGGTTTGCAGTTTTTTATTTTTTTAAGAGTTGATCATATCGACGGAAATTTTCTTGTCATCATAGTATTGATATTTAAAGTTTATATATTTAGCAATCACATCAATTCTCAAAAATCGTATTCGAATGCCATAAAATTTGATACTCCAAATTATAGAATAAATAAAAATGTTTTGATTAATGCATTAAGAAAAATAAAAATGCAAATTATTTTGAACGGGGGGAACTGAGGAAGTATGTAAAGTACCAACTACCAACTACCAAGTACTTCGTATATACCAACCGGAACTAGGTGCTGTGTATGTGTACGCATTCGTCCTTATACGTGGGTGCACATTGATGGTGCATGAGTTGGTCACCTTATTTTTTGTGTAAATATATGTCTTTAATGCATGTATACAGCATGTAAACGGTAAATCATATAATTTCAGTGATCAAATTAAATAAATTATAGTAACTCTGTTTTAATTCCGTTTTATTTTGTTTGTGTTTTTTTTAATTGCATGTTGTTTTGGACGTGTTCTTATTTTCTAACAGAGAGATTCTAGAATTTAAATCAGGTGATGAGATGTCTGGTTTGTCTATCATTGGCTCATTTAAGTCCATTACCGGATCAACGAATATTATTGCTTCTACAGAGAGGTGATAGATCCTAAGTCTGGTTCAAGGGCGGACAGCAGACAAAAGACTTTTTATTGTTTTGTTTCCTGCTTTTTCTTTGATTGTATTATCAATCATGTGACGAACGTTTTGCTGATTTAATATATTTGTTGGTTTGGCAAACAAAAATAAATAAATAAATAAATAAATAAATAAATAAATAAATAAATAAATAAATAAATAAATAAATAAATAAATAAATAAATAAATAAATAAATAAATAAATAAATAAATAAATAAATAAATAAATAAATAAATAAATAAATAAATAAATAAATAAATAAATAAATAAATAAATAAATAAATAAATAAATAAATAAATAAATAAATAAATAAATAAATAAATAAATAAATAAATAAATTATTTATTTTAACAGTCATAAACAAAAAAATATTACTTTTTCATACGGGTTAAGCAACTTTTCTGTTTTTTTCTTTGGAATATCCTCTAAAACTATTACATTATCTGCTAATGACAATGTCAACATCATTGATTAGGATGATATCCAAATCAAAGTGATGTCATCAAATTAAAAGATACTACCCTGGTCCCTCTAATATTGAGACGGAAGGGAGTTCTGTGGTTTTAAAAAAATAGAATTTTCAAATAAATTAAGAATGTATTAAAGACACACAAATGTTACCAAATATGGCATGAGACAATAATAGGAGGCATCCAAAAATGAAAAAATGAGACAATTATAGTGGGCGAGGGGAGTACTTGATGTTATAGTTAATTTCTAAAAATATGAATTTGCTAACACTAAAGTAATTAACTAATGAAAAAAAACAATGGTTAATTACATGCTAGTCAATTAACGGTCAGGGACCAGTGAATCAAAAAACATGCTAGTCAATTTCAGGCTAGAGGCGGCTAGAGACGTACCTAGAGTGAACATTACACATGAACTATATATTGAGGATAGGTAATTAGTTTCTAACTTTAACGAATTTCGCATTTACATATGCATGCATTTCCGGTCATGTATTTATGTGCACATGCTATGTTTGCAATAGTCCATTTTTCCACATTATTAATTTTTAAAATATCTTGTTCTTCATTCCAATTTCCAATCTTTTCAATGCGTTTCAATTAATTTCTCCGTATGAAGCAATAAAGCCACGTCGTACAATACCAACACTCATTTGCATCTTTCTGAATACAGAAGCCAAAAACTTATCTGCCAAGTACGAAGTATAAAATTGAGTTCCAAAAACTACGTTTTTGTGTCATACGTAAGAAGCCAAAAACGTATCTGCAAAATTACTGATTAGTACATGTGGTGTCTAGGGAATTGAACCTCCTGCAGCGAGTTGATACCAAAGGGTAGCCGTGGATTAACAAATAGAAAATCAATCAATGGATGCAAATTGCAAAATCAATGTAGATGCAATGTTTTTAGTTTTAATTTTGCAATTTCTAAATTAAGAAGCAAGAACTAGTACTAGTATTATTTTTTAACAGAACCAAACTCCATTATTGTATTCGAGTTCAATTTATAGCTATTTCGAGGAAACCAAAGCTCTGCTTGTTAATGTTTTGAAATAAAAAATAGAGATAAAACTTGCATCATTTGAAGTTCGAGATTGAGACTTAAAAGAACAAGTAGTTGTACAATGTTTATAGTAGTGAAGAAACAAATCCCCAATTATGTGCCTTTGTCTCATTTGTAGGAAGGATGTTTTCTTTTGGACTGAAATTTGTTGGTCTGGTTTGATTTGGTCTGGTCTGGTCTGATCTGGGACTGAAAATAGTCCAAAAGAAAACATCCGAAGAGTTGGATAAGCTAAATTCGACTATCAATTAAATTAACTGGCTGCTCGTAACTCGGTTTATTTTTTCATATAATAAATTAATAAACGAGATAAAGTCGGGCCAAGTAAGCTCGATTTTAATCAATTCGAACTTAAGTTGTTCAATAACAGTAGCGTTCCATAAGTATGGTCCATAGATATTACTCTCTTACGTCCCGATTATAATTCTGAGTTCTATTTTGATTCATGCTATTTTGGCTCAACTCAACTATCAAGCATAGCTTGAGTTAGACTCATTCATTGACTTAGCTCATTCATCACATAAGCATATGATGAGTTCGACCATTAGTGAATTGGCGGGGCAGGTCAAACTCCGTAAATTACACCGTACAACCGGCTGTACGGTGAGCACCTTACAGCCAGGTATTTTTGAAATTAAATTCAACTTGCAGGGTTAAGATCGAAGACATTCGTATCCTCTGTACGCAGGCTTGAGTCCTCGTGTAGCTCGTCCCAGGCTTCGTCGGCCATCGCTGCTACCTGCTAGATCCCCGGCGGCCACCTCTCCCGAGTGCAATTTTGTTCACCCCCTCCTTGGAGGGTGAACATAACCCCCCTCCCTATTTGCTTGCCATGTGGCAAAAAAAGAAATGAAATGCCAAATGGCAACATTTAAGCTATGGGGGTGATGTTCACCCTCCAAGGAGGGGGTGAACAAAATTGCACTCACCTCTCCCTGCTAGACCTTCGGAGTTTTGGGATTGAGTCAATCGATGACTATGGCTTTGGGGTTGAAACAGATAAGGAGATAGGGATTTGGGGTTCCTAATTTAGTTGCCTCCTTTGCAATAGAAATTGCAGATAGACATCAGATGAAGAAATTGCTAGGACGATTGTTAGTCATGGTTTACTTTGTTTAAGTACGATAAATAACAAGCTCCAAGCCAGTGCTTGTTTCGACATCCGATGAAGGCCTACTGAGTTCATATTTCTTGTTGACGAATCTGAAATGAGTTTATATTAAACACAAATGAGTATAAACTTAAAAAGAATGAACATACACAAATGAATATTGAGCATATTAAAAATGAGTTTCACGTAAAACTCCAATGAGTATACAACCGAAAATGAATGATCATACACAAATGATCTTTTGAAATTTTTATACTCATTTTGTGAATTATGTATGCTCATTTGGTACCTCTTTATACTCATTTCAAACGTACCATACTAATGTTAAACTCAAATGAGTATAAGGCCAAAATGAATGAGCATACACAAATGGACTTTTAAATTTTTTGATACTCATCTTGTAAGTTACATATGCTCATTTGGTGTTATTTTATGCTCATTTAAAAAGAACAGACTCGATGCTCATCACAATCGCATAATGAAAATCATTGGTCATACTTTTCAAGTTGATGCTCAATAAAAGTGTCTTGATGTTCAATTAAAAGTACTTATGATTTTCATATCAATTCTCATTTTATAAGTTATGTATGCTCAACGGGTATTCATGTTATGCTCATTTGTAATATGACATACCAATGTATATTTCCAATGTATCATATTGCATTAAATTCACATACTGGAGTTCATAAGAGTTGATTATAGATATAATTTAATAAGTTTTTATAAAGAAAAAAATAAGGAAAAGAAAGTAAATTCGAAGAGATGAAGCGGAGATCATGATGCTCAATGTTATGCTTCTAATGCTCAACAAAATATGTCACTTGCTCACTATGTGTGGTTTAATACTCATTTAATACGAGACGCGAATTTCAAATAAATTACAAAAATGCCACCGGCTGTACGGTGAACACCGTACAACCGTTGGTACCATATACGCTTCCGTCACACTCGAGCTTACGTGTTTAATTTTGTTTCGTGGAACACTATTGGTGTTGAGTAAACCTAATATGAGATCAACTCGCCCCCAAAATAATAATAACAATAATACAGAAAAAAAATACGTATTAATAAAGTAATAATGATAATAAGAGCCTCTTTGTTAACATATATTTTCAACCCATCAGCTTTATCAAATAACTTTTTACCAGTAATTTTTTATTTAATTTCTTGCGTTTAACTGTGTAATAATCGAAATAAGTAAACTTGAAGAAACTTTTCTTGCTAGATTTACTGAAGTTGTTGTATATGACTCTTTTAGCTACATACGATAGTACTATTTTTTCCACAATTTACATATTCAACAATTCCATCAGAATTTAATCAGTTTCAGCAGATTCGGTCGATTCAACATCAACAAATGACTTCAAACAATAATAATATAGAGTACTTAATACTACTCCCCTCACACTAATATTGGAACATAGTGAGGATCAGGTGACACAATTATTAAGAAACGTGAATTTAAATGGTTGATGTGAAATTCATCAATAAAGTAAGAATAAAGTAATAACGATTTAGAACCATGCACACAAACTTAACAAAATTTGGTGTGAAACAATATTAATGGAACGTAACACATCAAAATAAAAGATGAGACAATCTTAATAGAATGGAGAGAGTTATAATAATCATAATAATAATTATTATGGTTTCTATACTAATAATACTAATCTCAACTTATCGCCGACTCACTCTCCTTCAGCGGCGGACACAGGAATTCCGGTTAGGAGGGGCGGCAGGGTAAAAATATACACACAAATACGTATATATTAAAATTTTGGGTAAATATACCTAGAAAAATAAAATTTTGGGGGGACAGCAGCCCCATTTGCCCCCATGTTCGGTCCGCCACTGCTCTCCTTCACGGGAAATCTCGGGTTTGAAACTGAATGAAGTGAGTTTCAGTCCAGATTACTCCAGGTTCTCGCAGCCCCCTCCCCAGACCCGGTTATTAAAAAACATACTCCCTCATTCCCTTATAACTTTGCAACTTTCCTTTTTTGGATGTCCCATTAACTTACTTTTCCATTTAAGTAAAGAATTTGTGATTCCAGTTAATTCTCTCTCTTCTGCACAAACTTCAACCACATATTTTTTAATTTATTAATGTTCGTGCCGGCCAAACTTGTCAAAATTATTAGGGACGGAGGCGGTACTAATAAACTAATAAAGGAATTGTACAATAGCCACCTAGGTATAGTAGCTGATTTGGCTGTCAATATTTGATTGCATGTCACCTTCGAATAGGAAAACACCAAATAAAACGGCCCCTTGAAAATTCTCCCCCACCACATCCCAGGCCCCTCTCCTGTCTTATTTTAACTCCATCATCGTCTTCTTCATTCTACTCCTCACCATGAAAACTAACACCCTCGTTTCCGCTGGTGCCGGCTCTGATGAAAATTACGTGGCCGCCGGCGAGGAGGATGGTCCTCAATCTCAGACCATCTTTGACTTTCCACCTGAATCATTTTGGGTCCCCAAAGACTCAGAGCAAGACTGGTTCCACCAGAACGCCACCATGCAACGTAAGTCCTCCTTCAAGCTCGCAAGGTTCTCCGTCACCGGAAACTGCCACCACCACCACAACAGCAACCCTTTCTCTAATCGCTCGCTCTCCACTTTGAACCATCACGACCACAACAAGTCTTCCCTCCTCGCTCTCCCCATTTCCGACGGGAACCTCTGGCAAAACAAGGCGGCGGCGGCGGCCACGAGGGTGTTATTCCGGAGCCGGTCCGAACCGGGAGGCAAGGGCCGGTTGGTGACAGATGGAGCTGAACCCGGTTCTCCCGTGGTTTCTTGCACTGGCCGGGTACGGCCGATGAAGAAAGATGGAGGGAAGAAAACAGGTCTGTGGAAAACGCTGAGGACCGCTCTGAGGGGACGGCTCGGAGTTAGGCGGCCGCGGGTGGTGAACAACGCCGGCAGTGAATCGGCCGGTTCGGCTGGAGCTGAGTCGGGCAGGTGGTCAGGCTCGTTGAGCGGGAATAATAATTGACATGGCGGATTTGATACCGTACGACGTAGGTGGAGTTGGTGGTGACGCCGTGATTACACGGTTATGGCCCACACACACATTTATCACTCCGTATGTGTATGTATAGGGAACTCTTCCGGTAAGGTATACCTTACCGGAGCCGCCGTGCGGCCTCCACGTTTTGAAGGCCTTCCCGGTGGAATTTTTCGATGAAATTTTTTGAGCATGTTCTTCATCAAGTCTAGTACATCCGTACCAAATTTCAGAAAAAAATTCAATCGGGAAGACAGTCAAATGATTTTTGGAAGATAACTGCACCCTTTATATACATATAAAACGCAGTTATCTTCCAAAAATCGTTTTGCTGCCTTCCCGATTGAATTTTTTGCTGAAATTTGGTATGGATGTACTAGACTTGATGAAGAACATGCTCACAAAATTTCATCGAAAAATTCCACCGGGAAGGCCCTCAAAACGCAGAGGCCGCACGGCGGCTCCGGTAAGGTATACCTTACCGGAAAGATTTCCTGTATGTATATATCCTTACTTGTTTTAATGAGAAAGTGGTAAGGCGTTTGGAACAAAAAAAAAAAAGAAACTTGCCAAAATCTCAAAAAATGACATGTTTGAAACAATCTAGACCCAGTTTTGTAATACTAAATTGTTTGAATTGACTCTAAAGTGATTAGATTGATTTATTAAAAAAATTATATTTAAAATATTTTTCAATAATAAAATAAAGAAAATATTATATTAAAAATAGCTAAAATAGTTCTCTACTGTAATTTCAGCCAATATAACTAGAAAAGTAACTTCAACCTTATTTTTTCATCTTTACACAATTCAGTGCGTAAAATTAATATTTACGTGTTTGGTGAAAAAATTGACTGATAAACTTGATAAGACGAAAAGTAGGGTACCAAACGGGCTCTTAGTCATAAGGCTAATCAAAATCTCAAACGGAAGAGGTAGGATATTGAAAAATTCTAGTTGTACACATAACTTGACCCCATCTGGAATACTTTTCTGTGTACACAGACATCTCATTTAGAAAAAAAACAAATGTGTACAAATCTTATGTACACCAATAATTATTGTAGTATATTTATATCTCCTCCGTGTTTTTTTTAATTACAAGATTGCAATTGTATATCTCTTATTCTCAATTAGTAAAAAATGTAAAAAATAAACAAATTTTGAAAATTGTAATGAGAAGAATTGAACAATATTTTTATAAAAAATATTTATCATAAATTAATAAATAAAAATATAGTTAATATCTCTGTTCTAAAAATCGTTCTAGGCGTCCGACTAGTCCTCGCCTAGGCGCTAGGCGGTGGTCGGGCGCCCCGATTTTCGTCTAGGCGCTCCGACTAATTGGTTTGCCGTCTAGGTGAATTAGTCAGCCACCTATGGCGCCTAGTTGCCCGCCTAGAGTGCCAAATCGGCCGCCTAGACCGTCTAGATTCACCGAACATTACTTCACTTTTTAATTTTAATTTTTTAAGTGATATACGCACTTTAACTTTCGCCATGGATATAAAGAAATGAAGTTGTAAATTAATATACAAACTATATAGTTTGTATATATACCTAAATTTCATCATCATTTATATTTATAACAAAATGAAGTCAAGTGATTAGTTATCATATACTACATATGATTAAATGTGATAATTCTATCATTCATGTTTGTTAATGTATATGTATATATGTATTTTGTACACACAAAAATACAATATTACTTATCATATTTATGCAAAAATATAGATAAAAATGTAATTTATATGTTTCCGACTAGTTCCCGACTAGGCACCCGCCTAGCCGCCTAGGCGCTAGGCGCTGGGCTGGCGCCCGACTAGCGCCTAGCGCCTTTTAGAACATTGGTTAATATAGAGCATGTCAAATTCTAACATGTTTTCAACAAAAAGGAGGATAGTATATACTCCCTCCGTCCCAATTTGTTTTACAAAGTCAACATTTTTTTGTCAACCAATAATAAAAGTCAATTCTATCTATTGATAATCAATTAGGCAGTAGAAGACGACAACGGCAAAGCTGATAAACATTGGTTACGGCCGCCATGCTGAATAAGTAGAGCCCACATGGCTGCTAATGTGTGTGTATTTGACATTCAAATCCCTTAAGAATGAAAGTATCATCCATGGCATATATGATAAGATATCCATTTGTCCTCGCAAAAAAAAAATCCATTCGTCTGATTCCACTTCAAACTTCAAAGAAATGACTACCTATTTATTTATAGTAAATTCCTCAAAATAAAAATAAAATATGGATAAAATTTTAACATAGAATGAAATGTATTTTCTCTATAAAATACGATTTAAAGAAGTTACATCATACAGAAACAGAACAATAAGGGTGAAATGCTTAAATGAGACCATCTATTCCCCCTAATCTAATAGGACCATCTTACTACTATTAGAAAACATATAAAATAACATTGGGAAAATGAAAAACTAATAATCCAACCTTTTAGCGGTCTTCTTTCAATAATCTCACCTTTTGATTATTCATGAATAATCCAACCTTTGCACCTCATCTTCATTCACTGGTCCCTGACCGGTTGATGGCCTGCTATTCCAAGCTATTTTCTTATCTTTGCAAATCATTATACCATAAATCTCATCTTTCACAAAGATAATATTTTGGAAAGATAAGAAAATAACTTGGAATAGTAGCTCATTAACCGACCAGGGACCAATGAATGAAGATGAGGTGCAAAGGTTGAATTATTCATGAATAATCAAAAGGTGGGATTATTGAAAGAAGACCGCTAAAAGGTTGGATTATTAGTTTCCATTTTCCCAATAACATTCTAGACTTGCCTATCATAACTTGTGTAATCCCACGACCCGCACACTACTCCTCTTATTAATTGTTATTTTCTTTTTCCCGTCAATTACAATGTTCAATTACGATCATGTCTCTTTTCTGAGTTTCTCTTTCGCCTCTGTAATGCAAACCTTTTCTTCCATATTTGTCATTCGCACATTTTTCTGTACAAGTCAGTGACAAACTTCTTAAACTTTTCTTCTTGCAAGTTAACGATGACTATGATTTTGTTAACGACCAGAGTCATTCCTTAATATTTTGAAAATGAATTGATCTATAATAGATGTTCGAAATAATGGACAAGATTGCTGCTATTGATCTAGATTTTATTTGATTAATCAGCCACATATATCTTCTCATACTTATCTCCTAGATTACTTTTCTATATAATACGGAGTACTGGAGTAGTACATAACACACACTGTATTTGCAACACATGTTAAGACCAAGATGGAATAAACTTGATTACCTTTCAATATTATCTCATTTACACATTTCCTTATAAACTTGATGACTATAATCTTGATATAGACGTGTGAATACATTACTAATTTATCAAATAATTTCTGCACCAATTCTACATAAAACATACGGACATTCTCCGGCTATGTTTGGCACACAAAAGTCTCTAGGTGTATGTTTGGCATGACATTTTTTAAGAATTTTTCAAAAATTAAAAGATCTTTTTTGAGATGATACCGAGTGTAGCATCTGAGAAAAGCTCGTGACTTTTAGTATTATTTAGTCCTAACAGCTTGTGTATCAAACTGAACTAAATCAAACAGTCAACTTTTTACCAAACAGCTATCACCTTTTCTTTTTAAGATTTTTACAGTCACTAAAACCTAACAGTTACTAAAAAACTCACTAAAGTATCTTTTCAGCTAGTTGAGCCAAACATACTCGGAGCATAGAATAGAGTAAATTATCTCTCGTATGATTAAAACTACATAAGTTTCCCAATGTATGACTTGTTAGTTATTATTCTCAATATATGATACGTGGAAGTATGCATGGACATTCACGGTTCTTTTTATTCCTTGGCTACCCTCAAGCTTAAATATAGGAACTCATTTATATTAATCTTATTTAACCGCTTGTGATATGCACGAACAGAGCAAAACGTGTATTCATTATTGGTCTTCCTAAAAATGAGGAGAATTTATTCATATATGGTAACTGCTATTAGTACTACTCAATACCCCCTATTTCCTATTCTTCCTAATTTTTATTCCACGGTTGCCCTCTAATAAATGAATATGGTGTCTTTCTCCTATTTTCTAGCATATGATAAATACTATTCCTAAATATACGAACATATAATATAACAGTTAATTGAATAACTTAAATCACAATTAATTTAGAGAAGAGATGTACACTCAGAACCTTGTTTTCATTCCAAACCAATCGGCCATAATAATAATTACTGCCTATGTAATATTATTACATACTGCTTGATCATAAATACGGAGTATGTTATAAAAATATAAATACTGCTCATAATATAAATATAATATTATTATATATAATGCTCATAATTATATGAATACGTGTGAGTGTATTTTACTGCCCTTCTTTATTGCACCATAGATGTACTTTCACTGCTCGTTCATTTTTATTGTCCCTCTATATTGCACCGTAAATACACTTTCACTGCTCGTTCATTATTACTGTCTATTATATACTCTATATTTTAACTTTCGCTAATGTATTTATTTAATTGTCTAATGTGTTATCATTTATGTATCAATTGGGCAGTAATTTATCTATAAAATTATCCTCATTTTCTTTGCTATTGATTTAATTATTTCATTTACTGCCCTCACTTTTTTTCTATTCATTTAATTTTACTGCCATCCTACGGGCAATAACTTTTATTATGCCAAATATGTCATATTTTCCATTTCGTACTACACCCGTGTGTATCAAGTCAGTAAAGTATTTAGTAAAGTGTCCTCATTACGTGTGTTATAATTTTACGTGTTCATTTACTATCCTCTTATATGAGCAGTGAAGCACACTTGTCTAATTTCTATTTTAACTTTTGTTAATGTATTCATTTAATTGCCAAATGTGCTATCATTTATGTATCAATTGAGCAGTAATTTATTTATGTCCTCATTTTCTCTAATACTAATTTAATCAGTACATTTACTACCCTCACTTTTTTCCTATTGATTTATTTTTATTGCCCTCCAATGGGCAATAACTTTTACTATGCATAGCCTTTACGTTTATTGCACTAGTGACTTCTATTACTGACGGTTTCTACAACACTCTGTATTAATTGCTTTAATTCCTTTTTGAAAAGATTCATTTTTTTATAAACCGTGTCCACAAAGAAGTTGAGGGTAATAGAGTAAGTTTGCATCCTTATTAAATATCCATGGCACGTATTTAGTCATACTTTAGACAGAATTCATATGTAGTCATTTATTGAGAAATTCTCTTTCTTTTAGTCATATAACGGTATTTTTCCCGGCCGTTCCACCCCTACTTGCAAACTACGTAGTTAAGACCAAGATGTATGTACTGATATCCTACATTTGTTCATATTAATGTATTAGAAGTTGATAAGCAACATGTGCATTGTCATGCTAAGTGTAATACCACACAATTTGAATTTTTAGTTACATTTGTGTACGCTCTTTATACGGTTTTGGAAAGAAAGGAACTTTGGGATCACCTTACATCTTTGGAACCTCTCATTACTAGGCCTTGGCTTGTGATGGGAGATTTTAATTGTGTGAGTAGTCCTAATGAGAGAGTGGGTCCCACCCCTCCTTCGGCCTACCTTACACAACATCTAAGTGAGTTCAAGCTCCAAAATAATCTTGTTGATACCCCCTCCACGGGTGAATTCCTTACTTGGAATAGAGGATCTCTATGGGCTAAACTAGATAGGGTGCTTATGAATCCTCTCTGGATGACTCAAGGAATGAATTGCACAACACACTTTCCTCCTATGGAAGTTGAGTATGACCATGTGGCTGCCATTGTGAGCTTCGGTCAAATCAATATGAATGGATCCAGGCCGTTTAAATTTTATAATATGTGGCTCAATCATGAGGCTTTCAATATCATACTTACCACTTGTTGGCAAAAGGAGGTTTATGGGAGTTCTCAATTTATTTTGGCCAAAAAATTGAAAAGCCTTAAAGGTCCACTCAAGGAACTTAATCATAAAGCTTTTGGTCATATCTCCGAGAGAGTAAAGAAAGCTAAGAATGAGTACAATAGACTCCATGGCCTATCCCTTCTCTCCCCCTTAGATGATACACTCCAGGAGGATCTTAGGTTGATTAAAAAGATAGTTTTATACCTTAAGGCCGCGGAAGAGGATTTTTGTAGACAAAAGGCAAAGGCCAATCATCTTGTTCAAGGTGATAAGTGTACTAAATATTTTCACTCCATTGTGAAGAAGAACATCGCTAGAAACTCCATTATGGCCTTAAAACTGCCTAATGGAGAATCTACTACTTCTATTGATCAAGTGGCTTGTGAATTTGTAAAGTTTTACACGACCTTGTTTGGCACTCATACTCCTAACACTTGTTTGGACCCTAGCATTATAACTTCTAGTAATTGTCTACCTTTCCAATCCGGAGAAGGGTTGACTTCTCCTATCTCTGATGATGAAATAAAAAATGCTATATTTGACATTGGGGACAACAAAGCTC